AGAGTGGACCGTCCGGGAGAGAAACAACAAAAACTTCCGTCGCCGTGCCGTCGGTTCGCCAGTCGGGAGTATTCGAACTTCCGGAGTTTAATCGCTGTGGGAGCGGGATCAGTCGAGAAGTGACCGGAACTCAAAACCGGAGCAAGGGACTCCTTCCTTGCAAACCACTGGTAGTTTCTTGTTGTATACGGTATACGGGCTCTTCCTAATATAGTTCACGATCTGTCTCATCTATCTTTGAACTGTGAGGTAATATTGGCATAGTTGTTGTAGACAAGGAAATGAGCAATTAAGTTAGCTAAGGCAATAACTCGTGCGTAATTTCAAACTTTGAAGAGCTCCGCCAAGGACATGATTTTGCACGAGCCGATCTCATCTGGTAGGAGGATGGGGTATTAGTTTCGATGATGACCTGACCCAGAATGCCTTTCTCTCGCCTGAGGTATTGCAGCCTAGTAATATAAAAATCGGATAAAAAAATCGATTAGTAGATAATCGATTGATTGTTTTTCAATATTATTAGATTTCTGAAAAATGGATTTTCTGGAAAAATAGATCATTTCGATTAGTCGACAAACTGCGTGCTTTCTTATTTCATTTGAACCAAAACAAAATAAAAAGACGATGGGTACAGCAAATAAAGCATTCAAAAACCTAAAATACAAACAACAATATCTATATGCTCGAAAGTATCCCTTTGCTGACGAATCTAGTATGAATGACGATTAGTTTTCTAGTATGTGCCTCCTAATATCCAAAAACAGTACATGTATTTTCTTTTGCTTCTATGGATGATGATATTTTTATATATACTAAGTGACATATAAATCCGAACACCCAGTTTAAATGGTTTTATTTTAATAAAATTTTGTATAAGTACTTAATGAAGCATAATAAGTAAATGATAAAAATTTCAAAATGATTGCACTGCTTTAAAGCCCTTTGACCTTTAATAATGTGTGGATGCACCCTGATGTGCTACGCATTCACCAACGCGCCTAGGCATGCTTCTGATCAGGTGGTCAATGTCCTCCTGTGGTATCTCATTCCAGGCAACCACCAACTAATCTCGAAGTGCTTCTAGAGTCTGAGGAGGACGTTGCAAATTGAGCAATCTCCTACCCATCATATCCCACACGTGCTCAATTGGGGATAAGGCGGGAGATCTTGGTGGCCATGGTACCAATGTGACATCATTATGTTGAAAGAAGTCTATTGTGACTCTTGCAACATGTGGTCGGGCATTATCTTGTTGGAAAGTTGGATCTGCCAAGGTGTCAAGATAGGGTAAAAGATGGGGTTCTAGAACTTCGTGGATATAACGCTGCGCGTTCATGTTACCTCTGATGAAGATTAAAGGTGACCTGGAACCAGCTATAGCACCCCAAACCATAACTCCGACAGTGTGATGAACATGTCTTTCAACAAAAAACTGTGGATTCCTCCTTTCACCACGTCGCCTTCTAACCCTGGCACGACCATCGTGCATGCCTAAACAAAATCGAGACTCGTCACTAAAGACAATACTGTTCCATTCCTGATCCCAGAGTGACCGTTGTCTGCACCACTCAAGGCGATTACGTCGGTGTTCACGAGTTAAAGGGAGGACCCAGTGGGTCGTCGGTAAACACTTCGCATGCCAATAGGTCTTCCGTGTTCTGCAAACCATTCATTTGCAATGGACCTGGTAGTGGAGAAACGGTCCCTTAAGGCCAATAATCTTAGGTGGCGATCTTCACGGTCTGTTGTTCTACGGCGGCGTCCAGTGCCCCTTGCTCTTTGCGTACGGTCTTCTCGAAGCCATGCCTGGCAACACCTAACCACAGTGTCTACACTTCGTTGCACTCTAACTGCAATTGCCCAAAAAGAAAGTCCAGCTTCCCGAACTCCCACTATACGGCCCCTATCAAACTCACTAAGTTGACGAAATCGTACAGGTCTCCGTACTCTAGGCATCGTAACCGATCGTAAAGGATGTCAAGAACCAAGATCCGCCAACGTTGATTCTTTACTGCGGCTGAAATATTCATTTTTAGAGCGTTCGTGAATTAAAAAAAAAAGCAGTATAAAAACCGGAATGTCCAACTGATAAGGCTGAAAATGTTTTCACTTGTTATTTACAGTAAGATAAATACATTCACCAACTTTTATTAAAATAAAGCCATTTAAACTGGGTGTTCGGATTTATATGTCACTTAATATATTAGGAAAAAGTGTGTACAAAGAGGAATCTAGAAATGATAAAATGTACGGGGTTTTCCAAATCGCGAAACATTACATTTTTCGTTTTTGGCCTGTATTGAACATTAAGTGAATTCAGAAAATTGATGAATTAGATCAAAAATGAATAGATACATGTTGACGTAAAACTCACTACTGTACCAATCAAAACAGTAGATATATAGGCTGTCCGACTATGGTGTTTTTTTTTTAGATAAATACCTGATAGATCAACAACCAACAATCAAAACCCATAAGTGTCTATTGACTAATTACTTCTTATCAGTATATCCGGCAACATTGCTCTGCAATTATCAGCGCCATATTCTAGAAAATTATCCTGAGGACCCAGCGTTGAATCCTTCTTATATCGAGGATCGGTGACCTGGATCTCTTCTACCCATATGCCAAAGGATTTTGTTTCTATGAGTTCTCCTCAATAATGCCGCCATCATCAACGCTTGCCAGATGGACCCGCCAACTCTCTGCTTCTAATCCTAACTAGCAGGTCCAATCACATCTTCATTCGTAAAGGTTTCTTCGGTTGTTCAAAACTGGACCTGTTTATTTCTCCGTCTCCGCCTATGAATCGAGGTGTTCTCCCCCGAAAGTTTCAGGTCGGCCAGTTTGAGCGCTTCTTTCTGTTGCTCCTTTTTCGAAATTAAATTTAAAGTTTCCTGTTAATAAATCTCGGCAGGAACAAAAGAATCTGCGAACTCCGAAAACAATTATTCTTCGAAGTGTACTTCTTGAATAGCCGTCAACAGCGTGGGAGAGTGCTGTGGAAGGTTCGTTCCACAGGTCATGGAAAGTGAATGTTTTGTTAAAGTCTGCAGGCGCTTGTAGCAGTATAAGCAAGGTGACGTTAGATACGGAGTACAAGTAATATAACTAATTTATAAGACTTGGAGAAGTTTGTTATAGTAAAAGGCAAACTCTCAAGCTAACAAATTCGCTCATCCAAAGTTCTACCTTTATCCATGCTTGTCTCACAGCTCGGAAAGGGTATTATGTACAAAATCTAAGAAACGTCCAAAAAACCGACGAAATGTCATCTGGAAGACTAGATAGTTTTTAATGTGCAATCATAATAATAATCTGTATTTCAAATTGTCGCTACAAAATGACATGTTGCGTCTCTAACACCTTAAATATAGTAGTTTATCTCAGACCTTTTTTCCCTTGTTACATGGTTATATAAAAACAGCTGCAATCTGAAACTATTACAACTCAAATAGATTCATGTATGGTATAAGGCTCTGACTGTACTAGCAATTTCTTAATGGTTTTTTAAATTCAGATAAGTTGTGTATGTTTTTAATTCCATTTGGTAGATTGCTTTTTTTGTGGATGATAATCTATACCGGATGTCCAATAAGTACCTCGTCAAACTTAAGGAGACTTAAGGAGACTGACCTCCCAAATAACAAAAACTTACTTATATAAGCTACATTATTATTACCTGCTCCTGATATGATTCTATGAAAATTGAGGAAACAATATCAGAATGTTATAAATCCGGAAACAGTCCTTATTTCATCATGGTTCCTTAATATCTTTTAGCTACATTGCATTTGTATATGATAAAGCAACTATCTCGAAGTATTTTATAGAACAAATGAACAAAGTATAACCTTATTTGTACATGCAGCTAAAGACCACAGATGAAAAATTTAAAAAAAAGTTCAATATTTCAAAAACGGTAACACTTTTATATAGGTAAGTTTTTGTTATTTGGGAGGTCAGATCAAAGCCTACCTTCTCCTTAAGTTTGTCGTGGTACCTATTGGACACCCTGTACATATATTGGATAATCGACATTGACTGTTCGAGTATCATAAACAGTTTGCACCTCAACCTCAAATATATTTTTATTTTTGAAAAAATACACATAGATGGCATATATATAGCTATGATTTTCTCCGTTTTAGACACTACCCTGCAAGTTTCATTGAAATGTAGTCCCTTTATCAGACGAAGGTACTGCTCTTTTGTGAACAGCAAACATTTTTTGAATTGCGCCCCCAAAAAATAGTCCCGTACTTTAGAACACTTTTAAAATTAGCTTGTACAATATTTTCATAATCGAATGATTTACATATCTTTATGATGCAAGTAGTTCATTCCACGTTTGCTCGCTATGTTACTAAAACGAAAATATTTTTTATGCTTCCTCGATATTTTTCCTCGTGTGACTTGACTGGTTTATGCATTGGACCCTTCAATTGTTCTTTGTTACCATGATCTCCAAGAATGGGAGGCTGTTGTTGTTCTCCTCTTCCCTTTCAAACTTTGTCGATGGCCTTAGATTCTTTAGTTGTTCGACGAGCTTGTAGTTACTCTTCTCCATGGTTCCAGATTACAAAAGTGTCATCCACATATCGAATCCAAATCTTCGGCTTAACGTCGAATGGATTCAATGTATCGATTGACTCAAGATGTATAAGACCTTCCTCTTCAATGTAAAACTCTTCTCTTACTTGAAAATAGTTTTTTCTAAGGCAAAACATGAGTAGTTCTATTAACCCTTCCACCGGCTTGTCTTCTCTTCCAATCCCCGGTCTTTACCAACCAACCACCAGCCACGTCATCAAACGGTATAAATAGTCAAGACAGGTCATTTTCGCCAGTTTACCTGGTGATGATTGAAGATCTCATCAATCGAAATGTCGTGAAAGAAAAAACTTTATAGACATTGGAAGTCGGAAAAACAACGTGTCAGTCCTACTAGATGTTTTGAAATAACATGGGAATAGTTTAACGAGAAACAGGATGTTCACCAGCTGTGCCGCCGAGGCGCTCGCCTGCAATTTGTCGTCGCCTCTGCCTCCTGGGGCCAGCAGTGCTGTGAAGGATGTGCGGTCCAGGTGACCGATCGCCAGCACTACTGGCCGTTGCTGACACAGACGTCGCTACCGTCGCGACGGTCGACGTCCCTATCAAAGTGAGAGGATAACGTTCTCCGATCAAAGCGGTATATCACTCCAGAGTTATTGGACTGCATTCCTGAAAGTCTATTTTGAGGGGCTTATTTCCGCAGCAAACATCCTTTTATAGGATGGTGTTTTAATAAAGTTCGTCGACCTTTTTTTGAGCAGAATGAACATTTTTAGATTCTTGCCTGTAATAAAATTTCGTTTGAGAGATGTATTCATTCTCAAATACCAAATGCAGCTTTCAGACGGATTATACGGTTGTCTTAAAAGGTGATTAGAGAGTTTGATAATTAAGCAACTCAAGGCATTTTCTCATAAAAAACAGATGATAGTATTATATTACGCACTAGTAGAATGTCGCCTAACTTACTGAATAACAATTTGGGGCTCTGCAAACAAGACGCTAAAAGAATTGGTTGAAAAAGCACAAAAATCTATTCTAAGTAACAGACTAAAGGACAATTTTTTTAGAAGGTATCGCTTGTGTATAGAAAATAATGGAGGTCATTTAGTTAGTTAAATTAAATTATCTTCCACTTTTGTCGGTAAATCACCATAAAGAGCGGCTAAGCACAATAGGTTCTGTACTTGTAGGTGGTAAGGATACATTCATCGTAGCAAGCCGAAATTTTCAGGGTTTATTCTACATAGATTGAAATAGTTTTTACAATAAAATGGATAATGAAATACAACCTCAATTTTTTCCGCCCTCCAACATTGAGGGATGGAAGAGATTTTTCACAAAAAAATGGATTTAAGATTTTTTGCGTTGTTCTCTAATAAGCTCTGTTAAGAAGTGACATAATGGTTTGATTGTAATGCGATTGAAAGTTCATTGTCCTGTTTTTTCGAAATTTCACAAAATTGCAAATATCTCCTGAACTATCAAATTTCGCCCAACACATATATGGGTTCATACGATATGTTTTGAGGCACTCTATCACCTGACTTCCGTTGATCCACTACTAACTTTAGACCCTGTAAAGCACTAATCACATTATCACGCATTTGAATGCAACGCCTACTGAAATAAAATATAAAAAAAATTATTACTAAGAAATCAAGTGTAACATGTGATACATCGTTAAATTCGTAGAAAAAATCAGAACCAGGGTGTACTTTTTTAGGACTATATAAAAAAATATTGTTGAAAAAAAATTATTACTAAGAAATCAAGGGTAACATGTGACACATCGTTAAATTCGTAGAAAAAATCAGAAGCAGGGTGTACTTTTTTAGGACTATATAAAAAAAATATTGTTGATGATCGCTTCTGAAGAACGAAACGTCGGTGTCGGGCACAAAATTTAAAAAACACTATCATGTAGTACCTCAAAAGTGCCAATTAATTTATATTAGTTTTTTGATATTTCTTAATATAAAGTCAATTGGGCCGAATTTTAGCTTTTCCCAAATACCGCAGTAAGCTATGAAATGTTTACAAGTTTTTCAACGGCATTGCTAAATTGCATTATTCAATTATTACGTTAATTTTCTCGGACAATAAGACGGTATTTATTTTCTTTACTCAATAATGGCGCATCGGCGGAAAACAATTCAAGAAAGATCATTTGTTTTAAATTGAACGGCGAATTCAAAAATAATTTTTATTTGGCAATAAACCATGGGCGTACCACTTTTTTCTTAACAAATATCGAAGTCAATACCCGTACCCACGCCACTGCATAAAATTATTTTTGCATTGAAAAATATGCAACTTTATTAACTTTCACTAGATACTAAATATCAGTCAAATATCTGAAGCGGTTCTGAAGATATTAATTAATTTCCATTTTTTCCCTAAAACTTCAACACCCCGCGTTTTTGTAAGGAAACATTTTTGGACAATAGTTTATAAAACAAACTAACATTCATTTTTCATGTAGATTCACATCCTTAAATATTCGCATATGATTAAGGAATACCCTGTATACACCTCAAAGAACGCAGCTTTTTAATTTAATCTAAGCTGTATCTCCCAGATTTATTGAGATCCCCATGCATGGGATCATTATCTCGTTTACACATAAAAAGGGTGTCGAAGGCTATGTAGATACAGGCAATTCCAAAATTAACCTCCTAAAATAGCTACGTGGTTTATAATTTCCAAACTAGATTTGTTGTCTTGAAAATTAATTAGTACATGTTACGTTCAGTCCGTGCATCCAATTCTAGGAAACACCAACCATCCGCGCACTGTGCTACCTCGAAGTAGAGCTAAAAAGTTTTTCAAACCACTTGGAGCGTGCGAAATAATGAACGAACACTCGCCGGTGCAACTGTGTAACGCCAACGCCTCGGTCATGGTAGAAAATGGAAAATTATATAACTTTTCCGCGTGTTTCATCCGTTTCGCTCAGCTGTATAGAGGAATAGTTGAGTTTCCCCAGTGCGGAGGTGACCACGCGTTGGTTGTAGAGCTTTGTCGCACATCAGTAAGTTTGTCTTCGCAATGACAGTGGTGTCACATTCAGAGTTTGAAACCAGTATATCAACAATATGCGGTTTGTGGCTCGTTTATAAAACATTTTAATAGTCGTAACCGTAGTCATAAGCATAACAGTTCAATCAAGCCCAGTCGAACAAATTCGCAAGCACATAAGTCCGCGGCTCGCACTGTAACAAAATTAAATCGTGCCCAACCAAAATTACAATTTTTCTAAGCATACATACTCCTAAATTAATTTTTTCGATCAATTTAAAATTACTGAATACTAGTTGACACCCCTCCAACAGACGGACGTCCTCCTCTTTCTTTCTCCCTGACTTTGTCTGGCTTCTGGGCAACCAGACCTGACAAATCTACTATAGTTGTCGTCACCGTACTTGGCGGGTCAAAGTAAGATTACCAGTATCCCTTTATATATCTCCATCTCCCTCATACATGCACATGCAACCTACCTCTGCGTGTGAACGTTTGTTCCTTAAGCTCAAAGACATACGTTTTTTAGTTGTACATATGAGTGCCCTTCAATCATATTTGTTAGAGTGACAACTTATTTGACATCGGCGTGCAATTCGAGTTGTCCTGTTATCGGTCTTCAATATAAAATTTTACAATGCCGGAAATACGATCAATGGAGAGTGCCGACAGCTTGTGCTAAATCTATCTCCAGGAAGAGAATGAAAACAGCGGTCCCCTGTTACCCACTTCTTGCGTGCTGGAGAGAGTAGCAGATGCGCTGAAGATTAGTCCGCGCAGTGTTAAACAACAATTCAAATGTGAATACGTGTATATACTCATAGTCATAAGCATAACAATGTTGACCGAGTCCATTAACTCTTATGATTATGTAAATGTTGTATCAACCATCCCTAAAACTACGAAATTATAAGAAGCAGACCATCAGAACGAGACATCAAAATCACAACCTGAAAATGGCTTCAAGTAGGTTGACTCTGTCCTCCTCACGTAATTCTCGTCATCAATTAGATTTTGATCGGTTGTTTTCTAGGTCGTTAGGCCATTAACCATGATTTAACAGAAATCGATCAAATACACGTGAGAATTAGAATCGATTTACTGGACAGTTCATGTCACTCTAAATCCCCGAAAATATACAGGGTGTTTATTCGATATCACTTTTCCGAGTCACGCGTTATACAGAAAAACACTAAATGAAGAACTTTGTATTAGATCCTGTAATGTTTAGAAGATCATATAAAGAATTAAGAGGGAGGTCAATTTATGCCCAATAGAATATGTGTAAATATTATAGCTAACAGATGCGTAGCATAACTAGCAAGAGGCAGTTCTTAATAATAGAACGTCTTTGCCAGTGATGTAACATTCGTTCATATTATTATAGGATGCAAAGCCTACTTTATTTTTGCAAAATCGATATGGTAACCATCATAACACCACCAGTGGATCTTCCATCAACCCGTGGTAAAAAATTCGCCGCACGCCTATGGCTGGTGCCTTTGCCGCTAAGCGGTGTCGTCGGGCGGTCGCACGGTGATAGAAACTCGGGCGTGTGTATATTTAATTTGTCTCATAGGTGCATAGTATTACCCAGATCAAAAGGGTTTAAATAATAAAACGTCTTTTACCAAAGATGCATAAAAGTACTTTTCGTGACTTCTTTGAATTCCTTGATGTGATTCAAACAGGGTTTTTCAAAACCGCCTTTCTATTAGTTTGTAGTGGCTTTATCGACAATCTCAAAACGAGACTGCCTGCAGCTTGCAGTCGTTTCAGCGAGAGCACAAAAGCAACGCAACGGATATCGAGTTGCTGTCAAGTGGCTCCTGGTGAGAACAGGGTCTGAACATTATATGCAAAAATAGCAATCTCAAAGCCCACAAAACGACGCTTGTGCTGTTCTGCTAACTTGTACATAAATTGTTTTATACGCTGTATAAACCTTTGTAATCATAAGAAAGGGCGAAAGGGCTTAGAGTTAATTAATTTTACACTAGTTCTTGAGATAAGAGCACATGTGCTCCAAAACTTGTCCAGTAATGTATCTTTAGTGTAGCTGACAGCGGAATTAAGTAAATTATATATGCAGCTCGGAGCTTAAGTACCCGTGTCATGCTTACGGTGTTCGTCTGTCTTGCTTTACGAGGATTTCAAACAGCTTTCATTTTGAAACTCACTATAATAATTTTCTTGACAACTGCTTGAAGAAGCACTTTTTGCCGCTATACTGTGAAAATGCAGTAAAAAGACTGGCTTAAAAATATTCGCGTGATAATTTGAAAATGTTTCCTTCCTAAAACTGCTAATGTTACATTCAGAACTTCACGGAATCTTATTTCTTGGCATCTCTTCCATTCCCTCAAAGACGGAAATCGGACAGATCCTGTAGTTAGACTATGTAACGTTTGCATAGTTCGTGAAAGCCTAGGCGTAGCATGGTGAGTACTTGGTACTCTCCTGATTGATGAGACGCCTATGTGATTGGCAACATTTGTCCGTTTCGTTAATGTGGACTGTCAACCAGAGGTGTTGGAGAACTAGTTTCTGCTGCCGTCGTATATACATATTTCACACATCATAGGTTTCATCGTATATTTCTCTTTAAAACATAGAATGATTCAGAATTGTTTTCGGTGCGCGTCTCTTTTTGCTATCTGGGCTCAGCGCCCGGCGTCACGGTCTGCTTGATTGTTCTGCTCGTACCGTGGCGGTGTTTCGGTGGGCGCTGCCGCGTCCGATGTTGCCAGATGATCGGTAACTACCAGTAGCGCAGGGAAAGAATGTCTATGGACTTATTGTATAGGCCTGATTGACTGACTTGATCGGTTTAATTTTTCTATTGTACATGTTGTTTTGCAATAAACTTTTCATATTTCTAAGGATATATTTACTTATTGTTAACAAACGGTTTATTTGAATTAAGATTCTGTAAACTAACTGTCCATCTGAAATGATTTTACATACAACAAGCAACTTTCTTATTTGTGGAATATAAAATGTTCATTGCATTTTGAAAGTACGGATATGTTTGGGTCTTTTTCAGTTTAGTCGCATGTACAAGTGGGTCGCGTGTCATTTTTGTCTCTTGCACAAGTGATAAACCACGCTAGGTTATAATCAGTGCAAAATTTGTGCAACGAATTTTAGGTTGAATCAGTAATTTTGACTAACATCCTTTGATAAATAGTCAGTAAAGCTGTTGCCTCTTAACTACAAATCTAGTAGAATGAAAGGATGAAACGATGAGAAAAAGTATCAAGATATAATAAAATTGAAAAACGGTGAGAGCATGCCTTGAAGCACCTGAAGATTTGATTGATTTTCTAATTTCTTTTTTCCAAATGTATATATTTTTATGCTGTGGATAAAAGGTATCGTTAGTAAATTTTAGGTTACGTTACGCTGTGTTATTTGACACTTTTTACGATTTTGTTACCACAAAGAACCATGTTACGTGTAATAACTAAATGATTTAATAGACTCGATTAAACCAGAATGCTCACAGCAATACAACTAATTAACTTAAAAATTGTTTGTTAATGGTAAGTGTATTGATTTCAGACAAACTAGTTTGCTTATGGCAAGTGCTCCTATAGAGAGGTGCACAGCTTAGCTGGCAGAATCATAATTTTATATGTGGTTAATAAACTTTTTTCATTATTGGTGGCAGTGTCACCACTTCGCACATAAAATCGTAATGGTTTCGCACAAATCAAGGAAGGTAAATAATCTTTAAACATCTCAAATGCAAAATATTACAATGCTTGTAAAAAAAACAACTGAAACGCCTGGAAATACCGTGTTTAGAGAAAAATTTTAGACTTTGGGTAGACGCATTCAACGTAGATTCTTCATTTGCGAAACTGACGATTTACTGTTCCAGAAGGATGTCGTTAGTGAGGGGTGGCAATAAAGTCGGTTTTAAGACCGATCCCTGTATTTTATGTGTTAGGGAAGCAAGGAAAATCTATCCACTGTTGTGGATAGACTTTCCTCTTTCCTGAGTTCTTTATGACCAATGACCGGAAAGGTGTAAAAGCGTGACCTAAACTGCAAAAAGCACGCTGTTAGTCAAATTGCTTATATAGGGTTGTCCAATAGGGACGCAGGAAAGTAAACGTCAATTTGACATAGACGCCATCTTTGTTTTCTGTCACCGACATGTCATTTTGTTAGTTGAATGTTTACCATTCATCGCTATGGAGTCGTATTCGATTGAAGACCGCATTAAAGTTATTCAAGAGCACTACAAAAATGGTGCAAAAATAAAAAACACGTTTCGCGCGCTTCGTGAACATTTCGGTCGCAACAACCGCCCAAACGACACAACCATCGGTCGTCTGGTGCGTAAATTCGAGGCAACAGGTTCTGTGGCAAATCTGCCAGGCTCTGGCCGGCCAAGGAGCGTTCGCACATCGGAAAATATTGCTGTTGTGAAGGAGAGTGTGAGAGACGAGCCGAAACAATCAACAACGCGTCGATCCCAAGAATTGGGCATTTCGAGGACCAGTTTGCTCCGCATTCTCCACAAGGATTTGAATGTACACGCCTACAAGATCCAATTGACGCAAGAGCTGCGTCGGGACGACCATTTTGCGCGCCGAACGTTCTCAGATTGGCTCCTTGAACACCGCCAAATTGATGCCAATTTTTCATCAAAAATCATGTTCAGCGACGAAGCGCATTTCACTTTGAAAGGGACGGTAAACAAGCAAAACTGTCGCATCTGGGCGAACGAAAATCCCCGTGAGTATCAAGAGCAGCCGATGCATCCTCAAAAAGTGACTGTGTGGTGTGCATTGTGGTCAAAAGGCATCATCGGACCTTACTTTTTCGAAAATGCGGCCGGGGACGCCGGTACCGTCAATTCTGAGCGCTTTCACGTGATGATAGAGGACTATTTTTTGCCGCAACTTGAAGGAATGGATATGGACGATGTTTATTTCCAACAAGACGGTGCAACATGCCACACAACCAACGTCAATATCCATCGATTGCAGTCCTTCTTCGGTGATCGCGTGATTTCGCGCAGAGGAAATGTGCCATGGCCACCAAGATCGTGCGATTTGACTCCCTTGGACTTCTTTTTATGGGGATATTTGAAAAGCAAAGTCTACGTCAACAAACCAGCCACCCTCCAAGAACTCAAAGACAACATCATTACCGAGATAAATGCCATAGAACCGACCATGTTGCAAAATGTCATTGAAAATTTCGACCATCGCGTGGACGTCTGTAAATCCAGTCGTGGTGAACATTTGATGTGAATATCAATCTTTCTTGTTTTAATATGCGTTTACTTTCCTGCGTCCGTTTTGGACAACCCCATAGCTTATGTTTCTGCTCGCAGCTGACAACGAAAAGGAGCGTCTAAATGACAATGTGAAGTCAGACAAAAATCTCGAAAAAACCAAAAAACATGCAAAAGCAACAACTGTATTTTTATGTTGGATTTGCAGGCATGTACACAGGCCTGTTGGAGTAATGGTTTGGGGGTCTATTGCCTTTGGTAGCCGATCACCGCTTCTCTTTGTTCAAGGCTATATGACTGGTGCGCGTTATGTTGATGATATCCTACAGACCACTTTACTGCCGTATCTAAAGGGCCGTCAACACGTCGTTTTTCAGCAAGACCACGCACGTCCCCATATTGCTCGTCGTACTACGGCAAGCGTTAATATTTTAAGTTAGCCACCCTGTTCACCGGATTTAAGTCCCATCGAACATGTGTGAGACATGATAGGGAGGAGACTATCCACTTTGCACCATCCGCCACAGACTCTACCACAGCTAATCC